GCAAGAAGCAGCTTTAGGGTGAACTCATGGCCTTGTTGGGGAAGAGAGAAGATTAGTACTAGGACATCAAATCCTACTGCCACATCCATGGGGCAGTAGGCAATCCTTGAGCAATATTGCCCAGAAAGCTATTAGACCTTTCATTTTATTTTTGTTAACATTTTAATTTTAATTTTTTCTTTCTTTCATTTCTTTTCTTTTTCTTTTTGGTGTCAGGAATTGAACTCATGACCTCGCATTTGCCAGGCAGGCATTTATGCCACTGAGCTAAACCTCTGGCCTTTACTTTTAATTCTGCAACCACAGTAAACACGAGAAGGTTGAACCCCTAAAACAGTAGTGGGGGACCCTGCAAGACTGGGGATATGTATGTGGATGAGAAGGACCCATGCATCCTTTTCCCTCCTGAAGCTCTGATGAGGAACTCAGAGAGATTTGCACCTTGATTCTGCTGACCCGCAGTTGGGGGTACAGAAGGAAGAGGGCCAGTGATTGAGTGCTTTTCTCTTTGAGAAAGAAGAGGCAAGTCAAGGTCCCAGAAGGAGACAGGGTGGGGCCGGGTGTGGGGTCTCGGAGCCTGAGGAGATAGAGACCACTGTGCTGCACGGCAGCTAGTGCGGTTTTTTCCCCTTTGCTGCTGCTTCAGGAGGTCAAATGACATTGTTTTTGAAGACATCAGAGCGGGGCTGATATCTCCTTGGATTGCGGTATTATTACCAGTGCAAAGGCTTTCATCTGGAATTGTCGCACTGCTGCCCTGTCTGTGGGAAGATTCTACTCATTTAGCTACATTTTTATCTCAGTTAAAAAACACTATTTTATCTTGGATGATTTTTTTTGTTTTTAGTCATATTTTAAGATAACTTTTATATAATGGGGATTAAAAAGAGACTGAACCTAATGTGTGGAAGCTCCTAATCAGGCGTTCTCATGCTATGTTTCTATCCTGCCATTTTAAAAACTTCGTTTCAGTGCAAATAAAGAGTAAACCCGAAGACAGATGAATAGGGAATAAAGGGAAGTTCAGTTAATTCCCCAAGTTTCCTATTTCCTTGTTTCAAAAATATTCCACTATATGTGCTGGTTTGTTTCATTTCTATTACTAGTATCTCTTAGTTCATCATCAAGAAAACTTTATGTTATTTTCTGATTGTTTCTTCTTGGTAAGAGAAAATCTTTTTTATCATGTCTTGTGCTCTGAGTGACTTTTAAAGTTAATGATACAGAGGGTATTAAAACTACTTTTATTCTCTTCTTATTTAGCTTTATGTTTTCACTGGAAAAACTTCCTTTCTTGGTCTTTGTGGTTCTCTCTGAAAATGAACCTGGGACTGATTTGCTGGACGTTTTGATGAATGTCCCAGGATGCATGAAAGGGCGTGATGAAGTGGAGCCTTATGTAGGTCAGGTTTTGCTGAGGGCTGTACTTGCCCTGGCGCTGCTGAGCAGCGGCCCCTGCGCGGTGCCAACGGCGGTGCAGGCCCCAGCGTGAAGACAAAGGCTTTGCACGCACTCTGCCCTCATTGTCCCTCGCACTTAAGCCACAGCCCACACTTACGCCGTGGGCATCAGTGCCTGGGACATCTTAACCCACATCCAGCAGCAAGGCTGCAGAGACTTTCTCGGCTTTGGTGCGGGTGGATGCTGAGTGAGCCTCCATGGGGAGTCATGGACCCTCATGTCACCCTTCCCCTCCACGACCAGCATGTTTGGGAATGTTACAGGCTGACTTCAGCTGGTTCTCAAGTTACCAAATTTACCTATCCAATCTCCTGTCATTCTTATACCTCCTTAAGAGTTTTTTGAATTACTTAATGCTTTCTAGTGAAATGTCAGAAATAAACATGGCAAGGGAAGAAAATCTCACTCCATTCCCCACATTTCCAAGCAATCTACTTTCTGTTCCTTACTCTCCGCAGAAAGCACTCTTGGGAAGTGGTGTCACTCAAAAGTCTGACATAAACCAGGAGGCAGGCTTTGCTGTCGCCCCTCCTGGCTAATTAGCAGTCACATGTGGGGCACAATCTGGTCACAGGGCAAGTGGTCCTTGAAAAGCCCCACCAAGCCAGTGTAACCAATGGGTCAATGCACTGTCAAGCATGACTCTGTTCTCCAGTGCTACTGCAGAATTTCATACTGGTATTTAGTTGAATATAAGATTCAGAGTCAACGTAGTTTTCCAGGTAGTTATGTTTTGTCACAGTTTCCGAAATGGAGAGCAGCATTCCTAGTTCTGTATGTGTCCGTTTTTAAGTGTTTCCTACTGTATAACCATGTGTGCTTCATGTAATTTGCTAACAATGCATACAGGTAAGCATCATTCCCATCTGGGAGACAGGAAGCTGTGGGGCCTGAACAAGACAGTGGAGAGTGGAGGCCCTATGCATCCTCCTCACGAGATCCAGCCCACTCTCAGCTACCACTACTCATTACGGGCAATTTTGCCATAGGTTTTCAGATAGCAGAATCACAAGCTAGTGAAATGCAGGACCTGAGTGGTGATTGGCACGAGAAGCCTCCCGTGGCTGACGCCGGGACCAGGGGACCCCTCTGCTCTCCCAGTGCCTTCCACGTTCGGCCTGTAGTAGTGGCTATGACTCAGTGTCCTGCTATGCCTCACCTGCCTGTGTCCCTGCACATCTAGGGCTGTTCTGTGGTTCCCTTCTGTGACACCCAGTGCCCTAGAGCCCATCTGCTGGGCAGGTCACCTGGCCTACAGATACCTGCTTCCAATGGCCAACCAGTGAGTCAGCTCCTAGCCTGACTTACCAGGGCATCCAATGGACCTTGATCAAATAGACAGCTGTGATTTCCCAGCTGTCAACACGGAATGACCATATGCTTTTCAGTTTCAGAGAATTTAAACATGGTGACTGTTTTCACTGTTTTGGAGCTTTTCTTTATGTGACCATGAAAATGTAGAAATACTCATAATTTTCCTAGATCTGAGTTTCTCAAATGTGTCTGTCTTAAGAGAGGGCTGGTGATAAAATCTGAGCTCTTACATGATGATTAACTTGCAAATAATGTACCCAGACACAGATACACATGTGCTTGTGCTTCTCCTCTCCTGGCCTCTAGTGATCCTCTGTACACAGACTTGTGCTACAGGAAACCTGTGTGCTCGCTTGCACACACAGAGATGCCCTTCACAGCAGGAAGCTGATGTGGTTCTCCCTGCTGTGACCCTTACTCTTTCCTTTTTCCTCCTGAGCACACTGCAGGCCCTCCACACTCTTGCATCCAGGGACTAATGCAGGCGATGAGTGCATAAGAGGACAAGGTCCTTTTGAGGATCCAGATACCACCTTTAAAGTTCTCTTGACAGCATCAGGGGAGAGGCGTGCCATACACATTGAGAGCCCAACAAGACCAGTTTTTCACTTAGTGGCTGGGTCTGTGTTCTGCATCAGCAACCATGAGTCAGCTACATGGCTCCTGAGACCCAGCTTCATGTTCGTGCAGTGACTATCTCGTCTATTGACTTCTTTGACTCAAAGCAATGCCAGTGCATGTTGGTATGTCTTTTCTGAGAAAGGCAATTTGCACCTCGCTATGAGATGACAGATGCGAGGCCCACTGTGTCTGTGTACAGGATTCCCATTGGCATTCCGGACTCCTCAAGCCACAAGCTGGTTCACTTCAATCCCACTGCGTAACTGGCTTCAGCACCACTTATATTTAAGAGAGGGTGCCAGAAAGCCAAACCTCAACAATGATATCTTAATTGCACCAGCACAATTTAATAAAGACATTTTACATGTACAGTTGCAAATCTACTTATTTTAAGCATAACTTTATATATAATATTTTGACAGACAAAAATATATGCTTTAGAACCATCATATGCATCTGTTTGTTTAGTAGCAAACTTATGATAAATTATACTTTATAACAAACATAATAAATTATATATTACACTAAATTTTCTTGAAGGCTAAAAAAGGAAACATTCATTATGTTTAAAATATAATGTTAATTCATTACTTCAAATAAAAAAGTGAGTAGCTATTATATTAAATTTACTTACTTCAGACTTACATTCATTTGATACTCACATAAAATTTACTACTTAAGTAAGTGTAACAATGAAGTTGGCTTTGACACTTTTTGAAGGTTGTTTTGGGAGTCTCAGTCCAGCTACAAGGTTGATGCTCTGAATGTGTAGGGGAAAAAAATCAAAATTACCCAAGAAACATGTTACAATCATTGTGAACACATGAAAATATCATAGCTGTTTCACTCTGTGTTTTAGCCACAGTTCTCACCCCCAAAGTTAAGACAGCTGGTGTCTAAAACATGTTCATTATTTTATTCCCATTGAGGATGAATTTTGAAAATCAAGTCCACTGTGCAAAGCGGGATGAATTCAGTGGCCTCCACTCACCTATGGGTTAAACTGTGTGAGTTGGTCTACACTCCATAACCTTGCTCCCTCCTTCCTCAAAGGCATAGATGAGGATCAGGAGATTGTTTTTCATTATTTCCAATTTGAGACTTTAAAATATAACCTTGCTTATATTTTAGTGCATCTAGTTTGAGGATAGCTGGGAAATAATGGGTTTATTTTGCTTATTTACGTGTTATTTTGGTAGCTTTAATATATTGGACCGGACTGAATTGTTTCTCAGTTAAGGTCTGAAAATATTGGACCCCAGCACTCACAGGTTAAAAAAGTGCCCCTGGCAAGTGATGTAACTGAGCTGATTCTGAGCAAGCTGGTGAGTACAGGAATTCTGTTTTCATTTAGGCAGATGCAATTACAGTATGAAATGCAACATCACATTCACTATGAGGTTTAAGTGCTGAGAGTATTGTGACATCTAAAATTTAATTTCAGACTTAAAATGTTAACCTGGAAATTTCATTCCTGTTTTGTGAAAAAAAGGAGATATATGATTTGGCCAACTGAGATAATTCCAATTAAAATCTGTAAGATGAAATTCTAAGGGTCAGGAATACAACTTTTACACTTATTGCTGAAGACTGAGTTAACATCATTTTGGTTGCAAATTGCAGAGAGAAACGTTTTTAAAGAAAGTGCTGCCATTCCTGCAATGCAGCTGGCTCCTGTCCTGGGATCCCAGCCCTGACACCTTCACAGCTCAGCAGCGGGCTCTGTTTCCAGTCTGGTTCCAGGCTGTTCTTTTACTCTTTTTTTCCCCCTTTTTTCTGGTACTGGGGACCGAACTCACGACCACCTGCTTGCAAGGCAGGTGCTTATGCAGCTGAGCTAAATCCCCAGCCCTAAGCTGTTCTTTCTAACTGCACGTCTGGCGGAAGCACTGAACACTATACCATACACCAAGCAAACCACGCCGATGTATATTGCACGTGTGTGTGTGTTCCCATTTTAATGCTAGAAAAGAGAAACATAATACTTAGTGACTTCATGAAAGCTATGTACATACCACAATATTAAAATCGATGGCTTCTTTCCCTTTAAGACTTATTTTTGCTTTCTATTTTCTGCCCCATTTTGAAATTCCCCATATGCTTTCTGTGGTTGTGATTTTTCCATTCCCTGAAACTGGTTTGTATGAAAAATGTCATAGGGTGGATCCTTCAACACCAAGTTGTCTCACAAATAAATGCCCAGAAATGCACAGGGTTCATGTGTCTGTTTTACTACAAGGGGTGCTTTTGGAAGTGCCAGTAATAAGTGTTCAGCAAAATTCATGTTAATTTACCAGTTTCTTTTTTATCAAGCAGAATTGGTGCATATAGCTACCTCTTTTTACCTATGGCTCAATTTGCTTCCAATACTGACTTAGATGGTATCCAAGGCGCTCCTTTTTGTAGCCTGTGGCAAAACTTCATACCCTTCAGCTAAAGATAAGAGTCTACTCTTCTATCACTTGTGTTTGATGTCCTTGATTTATTGCTGTCAAATCATCTCCTGGCACTCCAGCTGCCTTGATCTATGTGTCATGGACATACGCAAAGGCCAAACAGACTCTATTTTCTTAAAACTTTGTGCACAAATAGTGCCATTCTTCATTCATTTTTATGCATTCAATTTGCCTGTGCCGAGAATAGTTTATGCTATTACTAACAGAGTAACAGATTACAAGGCTGGGAGGTAGCACAACAGTAGAGTGCTTGCCTAGCACGTGAAGGCCCTGGGTTTGAGCCCATGTCCAAAAACACAAAACAGAACAGAACACCAGGTTGCATATTCAGCAAATGTTACAGTTCAGACTATGCAGGAAGGGGACAACCATCACAGTAGGAAAAATCAGTGGTTCATTTATCACACCATTCCCTGGAGTGACAGCCTCTGGATATGCAGTCAGTCTATTTTGCCAGTGATGTAGCCAATGATGTGCAAATAGCCTGGCTGATTTCTTCTTTCTTAGGCTCTTTCTTGTGTATTTCCTTTTTTCAAGATAAAAATAAATTCTCTGCTTAGTCATGTGTTCTTTGATTGGGGATTTATTCACTTTTTTACCTAATACAACTATCCATCATCAAAACTGAAGCTTCTACAGATGAGAAATAAAGTTGTTGCTTCACAGGTGTTGCTCCTAGCTTGGCATGAATTTGTGTGATTGCATGTTGTTTTTCTTGAACTTTTTCTTTAGAATTGATTTTTTACTCTCTGCAGGATTATTGTCCTCTTGAACTCTATTTATATTTTAATATGTATTTTATATGTCACAAACCATCTTTCCAGGGCTACTTTCCTACCGTGCTCTGTTGGGGAAAGCAGTAGTGGGAAGGATCATTGTAAGTTGTCCTCAATTCCTGACCCTTCTGGGCTGGAGTCGACATTGAGGAGAGCCTCTTTATTGGTGAATGTTGAGCTCAGAGTTAGGCTCTGGCGAGGTTTCACTGGTGCGAGTTCATTTAATTTAATATTTTCATTTCTGACCAGAATTGTCTTATCCATGTTTTCTTCACTGTGCCTTGCAACAACAGCATCAAACACATCCAGTTTTGGTGGCAAGGTTCCACTTTCAAACAGGTATTTGGCCAGATAGGAGATGCAAATGTTGACTAGGAAGGAAGTCACCATGGCGAGGGTCTTGAATGGGAACCTCTGGTTGTAGACACCATTGTCCATGTAGTACCCCGGGTAGAAGATCACAGGTTGCAGGTACAGATAGGGCTCCCCTCCTGTTACTCTCAGGAAAACCCCAGCCACGTAGCCTGCTACCGCCCCATATGTGTTGGTCCCCTTGATGAACAGCACACACAGGAGCTGTGGGAAGATGATGATGTAGACCAGGTCAGAGCTGAGGTACCAGAGCCCGTACACTGTCTTGGTCAGCAGCGCCATGGCCGTGGCAGAGGCTCCAAACACAAACACCATGATTCGCATGACCCAGACAATTTCTTTGTCTGATGCCTAAGAAAGAAAGAAACTGACAGTCAGCTTTACTTATAAGGCTTTGGCTCATTTAGGCAGAGTATGACATATCTTCATGCTTGAAAACTGGTCTAGAAAAGTCCCTGGGTGAAATGGCTCAGTGTACTGGCAAAGGCAACCTAACTCACAAGCCCAAGCAGTGAGCTGGTGGCATCCTTGACATTTGTGTGGGCATCTATGCACTGTGTGTGTGGAGCTAGCCCTGCAAGCCTATCATAGATGGTTGGGGAAAGGTAGACGGACTAACCCAGCACCATCAGGAATAGTCAGGCAAGGGAGGGTCTCATTTACACCTATTAAGCAGCAGCTCTTTGGTGACACCTAGACAGTCTGGTCTGGTCTTATCTCCTCTCTCTGCAGGAACGTCACCATCTCTGAGGCTGGTCAGACCTTCCTAGGTGTTTCCTCAGTAAGACCCAGAGGGGCATTTCACTATTGACCTGGGAAATCTGGAGGCAAGCTACAGTTTGGGAAGGGAGGCCCTTGGCACCTCAAGGCTCATCATGCCACGTGGTCCCAGACAACAACTAATAGTGCAGTTAGAACAGCGGGTTCATGGGGCGTTTATGATGGGGCTGCGTCATGAGATCTAATGGGGGGAGCGGTCCAGAAGCTGCTCAGAAGGAGACAGGTCCTCAGACGCCTGCTGCACCTAGTATCATGTGAAGATATTTTAGGCTGCATTACTCTTTTATCAGAAGGACAGAAAGCTTAAATTACAGCAACATGACTGAGTCTCTTGGGAATAGTAATTGGATTTGTCCCCTTAGCATTAACATGAATTATAACATTATTGATAATATCCATTCATAGCAAAAATACATTCATTGTTACTTGAATTAAACTTGTATGCTTAATCAAAACAGGGTCAGACTTTAAACCATCTCTATTTCTGTCTGTCTGTCTGTGGATCTATCTATCCATCCATTTTAGATAAGAGCCTTCCTTACATAAAATGCATGGGATCAAAGCATTTTAAATCTCAGGACTTTTCAGTTTGGAAACATTCACACCTACCTACTGAGGTGTCTTGGGGATGAGACCCAAGTCTAACAAAGAAAGTGACCAATGTTTTGTGTACATCTTACACATATAGCCTGGAGGTAATTTATATGATATTTTAGATTTTGTGCAAAAAGCAAAGTTTCATGTTATGGAATCTCCCATGTTAGTGCTCAAAAGTTCCAGGCTTAACATTTTAACTTCCACAGTTTTAGACACAGGAGGCTCCCCTGTCCCACTATCTACTCTTTGCGAGGACAATGAGCAACAGCCACAGCGCAGTGTGAGAAGGGACGGACGCTCACATTTTGCCGGAAGGAGAGCTGGTAGATGTTGCGTGCGAACATGGAGCTGGCCGACAGGATAGATGAGTCGGCCGAGGACATGACAGCAGCGGACACCGCGCCCAGGCCGAAGAAGGACACGTACACGGGACAGAGGTGCTGCAGCACGATCGGGAGGATCATGTCTGCCTCGCCCTTGTCCTTGGGGTTGTCCGGGCCGAATGAGGTCTGGTTCCAGTCTGTGGAGCAGAAACAAGGACCATGACACACAACCGGGGCCATGCTCCCTTCACTGAGGAGCTCACACTGTTCTTGGTAGTTTGGAAGCAATGTAATCATGTGTGTCATGTCTGCAGGTGGGATGTTCAGTGTTGCTGGGGGAAGCGCCTCACGTGCCCAGGCTTCTGAAAGGCACAGCTGTCCTACGGCCCTCATTGAAGCTGTGCCGACCTGACGTGCAGATTCTTTTTGCCACTGGGGCACCGTATTACACAGAATCTCGGCACACAGATGCACTCCCTGGACCACAGCTGTGGTTTCCCCACCACCCGGAGCTGAAGGGACACGTGTGGCCTCTTTCTTAGCGCCATCCCTCCTGGGCACAACCTAGAAGTACACAGTGCTATCTCATTCACCACCTCCCTGAGCTCTGCTTTTGTCTAATTAAATTCTATTTTGTATAAATTCTCCTAGAGTAAGGGAGCCCCTTTGAATTCACTAAAACCTACATTTTTGGGGTTGAGATTTTCAAAGGGGTTTCCAAACTTGGCAGGGTAAGGCAACTTGAAGCCTAAGTTTACCTTGAAATTTATCCTTATTTACTGCTTAATTATAGCATATGTAAAGTACGGGGAACCTGTACATGTATATCACATAATTCCTTTTCCTTCTTCCTTTTTTTGTTTTTTAGACAAAGTCTCTCTAGTTTGCCCAGGCTGGGCTTGGATTTTCAGTGACCTGCTTCAGGCCTCAGAGTAGCTGGGACCCCAGTTGGACATCGCCAGCTCCAGATTCACAGTTTCTTTTTATTTGCTGAACTTCTTTAATGTGATGATAAGCGAGGTGGTTTCTTTTGACTCCACCATTTTTCTTCCCCCATTTTCTTCTGTAACTGGTATTATAGTTATGCTTAGATGACACTAACTCTAAAGTCTTAAGTGAGCTCTTATACCAGAAAAGCAATTGAGAATGTGCACCCTGTCTGAGGAAGAAGGGGGCCTGGAGTGGTTTCTGCCAGCCTGTTGTCCCAGCACATGTAACTGTCCATGCAGCTCCCCAGTAAGATGCACTCCCTCTTCTGTGAAATAAATCCAGGCTTTTCCCAAAGGCAGCAGACAAGGCACTGCACTGCTGTCAGCCAATTGCTCACCTCTGCATGTCTGTGTCATGGGGGGGACAACTGGAAGGGAAAGGGGTGCCGTGACCCACAGCTGCTCTTTTCTGCATGAAATAGCCCAGTAACCATATCTACTGATTTAAAGTCAAAGTCACTGTGTACAGATCACTCTGGACCATCTTTAGAAAACACAACAGGGTGAAATGTGAACTTTCTCAAAGGTACTACAATATCCTCTATCTAGAAAATGCTTTTGAGCTTGGGCTAATGTAATGTCTTTTCACAAAATGCATTAGATGATTAGAATCAACCTAAGTGTGGCTCTGAGGTACAGATAATGATCTCTATGACCAGGCCTCAGTCAATAGCATTGCATTCATTACATAGTGGGTCTGAAGTTTATTCTCTGAAGGTCAACTCCTTGGGGACATGACATTGAGTTCATAAGGAGGGGACAAGGTCACAGAGGTGGGGCCCTCCACAGTGCAATTAGTGCACTTAACATAGAGGCCAGAGGAATTGTTTTCCATTGCCAACATGAGAGGAGAGGAAGGGTTGGGGTGAGGGGAGTCCAATCCCATAAAAAACAAGATTTTAGAAGTGTTCCACATGGAGGCTATTAGGGAAATAACATCTCCTATTGCTCTTTTAAAGAATCATTTCATTTCTTAACCTGTATACATATTGATTGCTTCAAGGAAAAGCAGTTTGATAAACCATGGAAACTAGTTAGACTCAAGCTCAGAGTAGCCAATGGGAAGTTGTGAAAAAGGCAGTCTAAGTCCTTAGCACTTTGCCTCCTCCAGGGCCTTTGGAACACCACGCTCCAGTTTTGTCCTTGGTGGTAAAATCTGCAGTGACCAGAAACAGGGTTTTCTCAGAGCCCTCCCAGCCCCTGGATGCAGCTGGGTGCTGGCTGAGAGCAGGGTGGAGGTATCTACACAGCAACCTCTTAGACACACAGCTGGGGCAAGGGGAGTGATCATGCAGGAAGCACTGGAAAGCATGGACCATGGGACTATGGTGTGGCACACAGGGGCCACATAATGTGGGTACAGTGAAATGGGGTGAGGAGTTGGAGGGCCTGGGGCCTCCTTCCCCTGCTGAGGCTGCAGGACTTACTTGTGGAGGCTCCGATGGCCCCGATGAGCACAGCTGGGAGAGCCATCACCAGGCACCCAAAGGCTGCCAGGAAGGACAGCACTTGGGCATAGGTAGCTGAGGACGAGGACAGCACCCTCTGGAAGTAGGCCTGCCACGGGATTCCGCCCAGCGTCTGCACAAAATCCGGGAGAGAGGATGGCGGTTAACACCACTGTGCAGCCTCACAGATTTTCTAACCTTTGCAGGGGTTGGAGACCTTTCTAACTCTAACCTTTCTAAGGGTCAGAAACCTTTCTAGCTCTAACCCTTCCAGGAGTTAGAAATCTTTCTAGCTCTAAACTTTCTAGGGGCTAGAAACCTTTCTAGTTCTAACCCTTCTAGGGTTTGGAGACCTTTCTAACTTTTCTAGGAGTTAGAAACCTTTCTAGCTCTGCCCTTTCTAGGGTCCTGAGTCGGGCTGCATGGACTGCTCTGCAGTCCACATGTCTGCATTGCTATCACTGTGCTCACTGTGATGTGAATCCCTCGCGCCTGGTGTGTGCTGAAAGTCTGGTCCCCAGTTGATGAGGTCCTAGCAGCAGGGTTGGCGCCATTTATGGTAACACATTACAGCAGCCCAAACAGACCTAAACAGCACGAAGACCAGGATTCTCACAGCACAGAATTATTTCCCTGATCACTCTCCTTTGTAATGGCAAAGGACAATCCTTTCCTTTCTTTATGTTACCTCTTTAAGCTTCTTTCAAACAACCCTGAAGTCTTCAATTTGTTCTCATTCAGAAGTTTCAATCACCATAAAATATTTTCAATATAAATAAGGTTCTGAAAGCATGAAGATAAAGTGGAGTCCATTTGGCCCATTCCACAGCACAGTGCTGGGCCTGGCAAGAACCGGAGGGACATAGGGTAGGAGCTGGTCCCCGGGAGCTCCGCCACCCTCATCCAAGGTGGGCAGCCAGGTGCTCAGAGGCCGCAGTGCAGCAACAGGGGCACAGCAGGGTTCATGCCTGGACTCACTCTACCTAGCATCTAAGTGTCATCTCTAAAGTTTAACTGATACAGGACATGCATGAAAGCCAATGGCAAATGGGCACTGCAGGAGTTTGTCATGTTCTTGATGAGGAAAATGCAATCAAAACCTTTGGAAAACTATGAACAGCACCAGGACTGTCCATGTGCCCTGAAGAGTCTGTGCGGAAGTGGAGCAAGCAAGGATGGTGTGGGGTGATGAGGAGGAAAACCTACAGCAGTGACTTGGAGTCAGTCCTCCCACACTCAGTGGATGCCCCAGATGCTGATGGGGAGAGGAGGGTCCCTGGAGAGCAGCTACAGGGAGAAGGAAATTCCAGCCCCCCTGATGACAGGGAAGCTGAAGGCAACCCGAGCGTGCAGCTCTGGACAGGCTGGTGTCTGCCACTCCACTGCAGAACCTCGTTCCTCTCTACCTTAGTGGCCTGGAGAATGAGCTCAGTTATCACAGGCACTGAGGTTTCCTTAACTGCCTGTCTTTCCTGGTAGTATCTGAGCCCCGAGATGTCCATGCTATTTGTTCTCCTCTCATCTGTGCCAAGGACAGGGTCTGCCACATGATTTCCAAGCAGTTTCTTTCTTTAAAAGAGCTGTACATGCTCAAAAGTAAAATAACAGAGCCAAAGGAAGAAACTTTAGAATGCACGGTTGTACTTCTCAAGTCTGTAGTCTTGCAAGAACTTTCTTTCTTTTAGCAACCTATAAACCAATATATTATTAACTCTTTCAGTGTCAAAGAAAGACAGGAGCTGGTGCACCCCAATGACACGTGACCACCTCAGGTTAGGTCACCAGAGGCTTCTTTTTGTGTGCTTTTAAGTAAGGTGAACTCTGATCTCTGTTTACAAACAGACCAGATATCTGTGTACCCCCAGAACTTAACCCTAGTGGGCAGCCTCCAGGGGACTTTGGCCTGTTGGGAGGGACCAGGCCCCAAGAGTGGAATCAGCATCCTTTTGAGGAGATGTCATGGAGCTTCCTCCATTCTTCCCCCCGCCCCCAGGAGAGGAGAGAAGAGAAGGCAGAGGCACTGGGTGCACTACTTCCCTAGGGAGTATAGCTCTGCTCCTGCACTCACTGCAGCCCTAATGCCTGGAGAGACAGCAACCTGGGTAATAAGCTTGAAGGAGGCAGTGCTGACATCTAGCAAAGGGCCACAAAGCCAGAGTCGTGAAATCCCTCAGCGCTCCAAAGAGGAGACACTCCATTATTTTGGTGTAAGCAGCAACCTATTTCTTGTGTTGAAATCAGACTGTTGTTATCATGTATAACCTCTTTCATTAGAAGAATCCTGAAATCTGGAAAGTTCTCTTGGATTTTCCCTCTTCCTGAACTGTGATCCCTGCAGGGTCCTTTTCTGTCTGCTGTCCTGAGCCTCTGCTTCCTTTCCGAGTATTTCTTAGGTGCTCAGGGGCCCTGGAACCACTCATTCACCTACTACATACCTGGGAATGCATGAGTTACCTATTTCAGAATACACTGGTTCCCAGTGCTTTGCTCCAGAACCCAGACTGAGACTTGCTGCCAGCCTGGCCCTCAGGAAAGGGATCCTGGAAATTCCTTGAGTGTCAGGAGCACTCAGCCCCATTCCCAGGCCGGCCACTGCTTACCAGCAGCAGAAAGTTGTCCAGCCAGGTGTAGACCTCGAAGGGCTCAATGGTTCCCAACCAGGGGTCCTGGAACTTGGCGTGCACTGCTGTGAACCCGATATCGGCCACCGCAGGATGAGACAGGGCGAAGGGGACGCTGATCCACTGTACAAGAACAACATGGAAGCCTTAGTCTGACTTCCAGACTCTGGGATGTGGACTGCGAGGCGCCTGGTGTGCTGCGCCTATGGTGACACAGCTCATCTGCTCCTCTTTCAGACAGAGGAGGGCTGAGGTCACACTGTCTATTACATCAGGGTACACTGATTCACAGAAACTGAAATGACATGTACTGGCAGTCCAGGAAGATCCAAAGTATAAATTCAAGATACAGTTCTCACCGAATGTGTTTCACTTTTACATCATTGTAAAGTCAGAAATCCTAAGCTGAGCCCCTGAAAGTGCAAGACTATCAGGGTTCTCTGAGCATGGGTGTGACCTGTCTCTTGGGGATAAGGTTGGGTGGCACAGAGGCAGCTTGGGAAAGGGGAGAGACAAAGATAGCCATGTGGAGAGACCCAAGTTGCAAGCTCAAATATTTGTATCTTATTTTGCAAGCAATTGGAAGCTAGGGGATTTCTCCTGGGTGTTAAAAATGTTTCAGTGAGATTTTGTCTGGATTCAGGCATTGCAGCTGGAACACTGGGAAGGCGTCCCAGGTCAGCTCAGGGCCACCTGCACTGAGTCTGACCTACCACAGGGCCATCTGGGATAGGAACATAAAAGGATGATGAGAAGCAGGAATGAGGCCGGCCAGCGGTCCTGAGTCCAAGGGCAAGGAAGGCCACAGAGGAGGGGTCAGGGAACCTCATGGGGACTCATGGTGATAACAAAACCTGCCTCCCACAGAAGGTTTTAGAGGATCTGGTTTAAGGAGTCAGTTAATCAGTGATGTCTACATGGATAGTAGCTAGAGCCTAGAAGATAAACATCCCCAATCCAGGAGTGTCTTAACTAAGTGACCTGTAGAACTTCACTCCTCATTAGGTCAGATTTCATAACAGAAAGATGTCACAGGGTTCATCTCTGCAAGTGTGCACCCCAGCATCTTCACCCTTGCACATTTGATTTATTCGCCTATATGTTTCAAGCTCTGGTCTCGTGTAAGCTTAGGAGGCAGCACATACATCATCTACTAATGGATAGGCCCCTGGGGCATGTTTCCTGGAATAACAAGCACATCCCTTACCAGAGCCCACTGCCATGCTAACCTCACTCTGACCTGCAGGAGAGAGATTTATTTCTGTGTTCTTTGCTTTATCAGTGGACATTTATGATGATGTTATGTAAATATCAGAATTTCTACAGTGTCCGCTTGATTTTGACAATTTCAAAAGAAAACAGTGAGAGTCTTTGAGCAAATTAATATGAGTAAATGACATTCCATAAAATGCAAACAAACATCTAGAAGAGGAGAAATGTAATATTTGCTAGCACATGATAATTTATAGTTAAACTATAAATCTAATACTGGTCCATTTAAGTTTTTCCCCAGGATATCACTGCAGATGTTAGAAAGTTAAAAAAGGATCTGAGATCATTCTTCATTTTTCATCTGTAAGTGTCTAATCCAAAAGCTAAAGTAGATGGAAAGCTTTTCATTATAAAAAATAAAGAAAAATGAGGAAATTAAGGGCACTTGAACCATCTTTGGGGACATGAGTCAGGATTTGCTGGCTCTGTCTGTGGCCTGTGCACAAGGGCACTGCTGCCTACAGGAAACAGAGATGACCATGGCCTGGATGAGATCATGAGCATAAACCCACAGGTTCGACGACTCAGGACTCAAGGAGGGCAAGAGTGGATGAGATCATGAGCATGGTGTGTGAAGGCCTGCGTATGATGAGACTGTGAATGTGGTCTGGTGTTATGGCTTATGCCTACATGTCCCCCAAAACTCTATGCATTTTCAGACAGGACTTCCTCAGAGGCAGCTGAATCCAGCATTTGTGATTGATTCATGGTTCAATGCTGGGTTAAGGGTGCTGAGACTAAGGCTGGGTGGCTGCTGGATCAGTCCAGTGCTTGGATCGATACTGCCCTAATCCCAGCCGTCTGGATAAGATAAAAAGGGCAGAGAAGAGGTATGTTTTCCCCTTGCTCTTGTTGTTTTTACTGTCTTCTGCTCCCATGTGCCACCCTGCCTTGGAGCCAGCTGATCATAGACTGAAACCTCCACAAACTGTAAGCTAAATAAACCGCTCCTCTTTTAACTTGAATATTAGGTATTTTGTTTCTGCAATGAGAGAAAAGTGACTGGCCAACCTAGATGGCCACATGTTGGAGGAGAATGTGAATGTGGATCCAGTCCTGTGTGGGGCAGGTCAGGAAGGAGGACTGGGATGGTCCATAGCAGAGTGGACACACTGTCTCTTTTGCACTTTCTTCTGATATGTCTTAGGTGTGGGATGCTATTATTCACAGAATTATAATCTCCATGTTTTAACATAGAAATCTGCAAAGAAAAATCATTGACTAGCATGTGCTTAAGACACACAAGAAAACTTTTAACCTAATACTAGAAATAATAATGTTTCACATTCTACAGTACTCTTTGCTAAAAGCAGAACACAGATATTACCTGAGTCCAGGCTTGAAAGCAAAGTAACAGGTAATATTATACTTTCTTACATGATAAACCTTTTGTTTCTGAATCCCAGAGAGGAAGATTAATATTTGGGACCCACAGTTTTTCTGGTGGGATCATTTCTGAGTCCTATGAATAGTCTCATAAACAATATATTATCACAGAGGAAGGTAAGAGAATGTGCAAGTTACCACTAAAACCTAAGTTTTGCTAACATGAAGAAAAGCATATTGCAGTCAGTTCTCAAAGAGGATCACGCAAGTTTTCATCAAATTTAGACACGAGGGAAAGGAAGATCTAGACCTTTCCAACAAGTAGACTTGGGGGACAATTTTCTGTCAAAAATTAAGCAAATGGCGAAAGCTTTTGCTTAATTAAATCATAGAGAAATGATTTAAACTTCAAAAGACTATGCAACTTAGTGTGTAGTACTCATCATAAAAAAAGTAAAATTTCTCCCCTTTGTTGTTACTATAAAATGTTAACCTTATATCCACAATCCATAACATCCCATTATCACACAATATACATAATACCAGAAAGAAAGTCTGCAGCTGCCCACTCACCAGTCCTAGGAAGATGCAGAAGAGCTGGACGACATCTGTGTAGGCCACTGAGTAGAGGCCGCCCACCAGCGTGTACAGGGTGGCGATGAGCGCAGACACGATGACAGACACGTGCATGTCCACATCGATGATCACACTGATGGTGGCACCTGAAGGCCAGAGAGGTGTGGTACAGAAAAGTAGCGGCTGAGGTTCCCATGCCACACGACAGGCACTTGGGACAAGAGGCCATGTGGGTTCATACACTGAAAACATCATCCAGTCTGTGACGTCAGATCTACAGAGACCTTTACTCTTGCTTTCTGAAGGTAGTATTTTCCTAACTTGTTTATGTGAGACCTGGAACTCAGTTGTATGAATAAAGAATACCTGAAACTTTGTTCCCAAGAACTGACAACCCTTTCCTCAGGTATCTGAAACTCTGATGCAGTTAAATACATGCAAAGTATTTACTTACAAGCACAGGAAAATGCAGCCTGTCTGAGAGGCATGAGGATCATTTCCACATTGAACAATGAGTATTTGCTTGCTGTTTTGCAACTAAGTAAGCCTCTGACTTGCAAATGAGTTGCTTTGGGAGAACTGTTCACAAGTTGGACTGCAAAGTGAATCCTGCACAGCACACCTGTGGACGTTCATAACTCGGATGTTTGTAATTTGGGGATTCCCTGTACCCTGCCCTCCACCAGCCTGTGCTTGTGATTGAGACAAGTTTTCCAGGGGAAATCATAAAATTGGTAGATTCTATCAACAACTTCTCAAGTCAAGAAAAATCACTTTGATTGATCTATTTGGAGGCATGTGCCAGTTCTCACAGGATGCCAGTGTGCTCGAAGAAAACACTTTGTATATCTCCTTTTATGGGAATTTTCAGCATCAAATTGTTAGGTCAGCCTTGGAAATCAAATGTGTTTATCTCATTTTATGACTTTGTGCCTGTGTTTGGTGCTGCCTATGTTTTCACCAAGAACTTTGTGCCATGAACCCTCTGGACCACCTCTATGCTTGGGTGCCTGCCTCACGACTCACTCGGGGCTTCACCAGTCCTTTCCCCACCACGGTCTGTGATGTGGTTACATTTAAGACTACTGAGGCCATCAGTGCTGGGTTCACTGTCTCTCCCTTGGCAGTTAATGGTGCAGCCTGCAGGAACAAGTTCACTTAATCTCAGAGCGAGTTGAGAGACTTCCATCTACAATGGCAACGCAGATGTTTCCTGTGCTTTATCTACAGTAATAAATTAAAATTATTCTCTTGAATAAAGGCCAATTAAAAAGAAAAAAAACAGTAAGGTGTGGGATAAAGACACAGGAAAGAGGTTGCTTTTAATTCTGTGACTTTACATCACTATTGTACAGATATTTCACAAGGCATTTTTTTCCCTGATTTGGATGGAATGCTTCTCTATTCCTGCTTGAGTGTCATTATCCACTTCAATGACAGTGCCAAGGCCCTATCTCATCAGTTAGGAGAATCCAGTGGCAGAAGAAGGAAGACTGGCCTGCAGGGTTTGCCCCAGCAGACGCTGCCCTTCCTGTGACTCAGGGACCCTAGAGAAGCCACTGCCCTCTCGATCACTACTGAGAACAGGTGGAATTTTTCTCTGAAATATTTTCTGAATAGTTACATCAATTGTAGTGAGTAGAGCAAAATTAAAACTCCAGGTCTCCTGTGAAATATTAGTCTACTTATGCAAAGATGAAAATAAATACATCTGAGGCCAAGACAGGAGGATTGTTGTGAGTTTGAGACCAGCTTGGGCTACAAAGTGAGTTCAAGGCCAGCCTAAACTGTATAGCATGACCCTGCATCAAAAATAAAAGAAGAAGAAGAAGGAGGAGGAGGAGGCGCGGAAGAAAGAAAAGAAGAAGAAGAAGAAGAAGAAGAAGAAGAAGAAGAAGAAGAAGAAGAAGAAGAAGAAGAAGAAGAAGAAGAACAACAACAACAACAACAACAACAAAAAGAAGAAGAAGAAGAAGAAGAAGAAGGAGGAGGAGGAGGAGGAGGAGGAGGAGGAGGAGGAGGAGGAGGAGGAGGAGGAGAAGAAGAAGAAGAAGAAGAAGAAGAAGAAGAAGAAGAAGAAGAAGAAGAAGAAGAAGAAGAGGAAACTAAATACATTAAATAAAGTTATGGAAAAAAATCCCTTAACTCGAGCTGTTAGAAGTCTAAGTGCACATTTCTGTAAAGCACTGGATGATGCTGCCCACGCATACCAGGTAGACTGTTTGCGACTTTTGCAGAGAATGCTGTGTTTGCAGTTGGGTCAGCTGGTGAGCAGGTGGACACCACAGTGTCAGCAAAGACTATACGGTCCTTCTGCCTCAGCCTCCCACAGTGCTGGGATCACAGGTGTGGGTCACCATTGGGATGCAGCTCGTTGCAAAGACCCTGGGTTTAGTCCCCAGTATTGTGAAATGAACAGCAGCACCACAACGTCTCAGGAGTCCATAAGCCAAGGGGAAGGAGAGACGATGGGATGGGTGAGAATGAAGATGTGGAAGGCACAAGAAGGGTGCCACGGATATCTGCTGTCCAGGACATGAGCTCTGCTCCAACTGAGCAGTGCTGGGCCTGCTTGTGGGGCCTGGAACATTGCCTGAGGGCTGGGGACCAGCACAGCAGGACAGTGTGGCCCAGAACCAAAGCTGTACAGGAGGAAAGAAGAGCAGGCAAAGAGATGATCAAGCGGTTGAAATCCACAGATACAGCTGTCCTCACAGCATTTACGTAAAGCTGATTGTATCCAAATTACATACAATTGTTACTTTCAATAAATGTCTATTTTCTTCATTAACAAGGTTCTCCCAAGTCTCAGAGCCACACACACTGCAGTGAGGTGATAACAGATCTGGTACGCATCCATTCTGAAGCAACCAATGCAATTTCCTGTAGACACTGGTTTTGAATTAGGGCCAGTTATTATTTTTGAAGAAAATATAAGTGGTAATTAAAAATACTCATGGTTTGCCAGAGCCTAGACTTCAAACAAGTAATGATTTTAGATATATGTGCATGCCTGTGAGCATGGCAAGAGGAGAGGGAGGCTGGGGCTGGAGGTTTAGCTCGGCGGCATAAGCGCCTGCCTTGCAAGCAGGCAGTCGTGAGTTCGCTCCCCGGTACCGATAAAAAGGAAAAAGACAAAAAAAAAAAAAAAAAAGAGGAGAGGGAGGGCACAGCTGCATATACACAAATTAACTAAGGGAAGCCGAGTTGTAGCTAATGGTTCTTGTTTACGAAACACTTCAGAACAGTGGCTCATTACTTCCATTCTCCTCTCCAGGCTCTGTTACATAAGGAGATCTTTAGAGTCACAGCGAACAGTTTATAGTCTGTTAAATATTCAGCCCACTCCTTTTCTGATCCTCAGCAGGTAGTTTGTTCCTAAGACCCAAATGTCCTGCGCTGACACCAGCGGGAAGCCCAGGCCTGTGGCTCCGGCTCAGAGAGCAGGTGGGGGTGTGTGCGGCTTCGGGGCGCACTAAGGCACAGGGGAGGATGACATTCATGGCTGGATGCAATCAGATGATCTTCTTTTCTACCGGAACCACTCTGTGCCTGCATCTGAGAGCAGGAAAGTGACAGGTTGTATGGGCGACTCGAAGAAGAGTGAGAGCTACCGCGCTGTCCAGCATTTAAGGGCTGCGTGAGAAAACAGTGGAGTCCAGAAGAGAGGCTTGCTGCTGGGATACACAGCCCGGCAGGAGGTCCCTCCTTTCTTACTTCTGTTCTGGCCACCTCAAGGGTGCTGCATTTCCGTTTGCAAGAAGAGATGGAAAATAACCTGAGGATGAGTGGCCATGAGTCTGGTAGGAGGCCAGGGACCTTGGCTTGCAGCAGGAGGCGCCCACCTGCCTGCGTGGACCGGGAGGGTGCTGGGCCCAGAGAGCTCCAAGTCGCTGCTCCTCCAGGTGCTGTGAGTGGCTAGAAGCCAGGTGGGGGAAGAGCTTCTCCGCACTGTCAGTCTTGGATCCCAGCTACACCCTAACAGGTCTTCCTTTGGTTTTAGAGCCCTTAAAGTGCACAGGACTCAGTGATGAAATGGGAATACATGGGGGTGGGGGAGCAATGTTCTTTTATCATTTTTGAAAAACACAAAGCTCACAATGTTTCCTTTATTCACTTTTCATATGGGACTATAACTGTTAACAAGACATTTTCCACCATGGTGCAGGATTAGAAATCGGATTTGGAGTAGATGACTAGGCCTGTGTACAGAGTGACAGGACAGGTCCTGTGAAGACAGAGCAGCAGGTGGCTGGGCATCCACAGGAGACCCCTGGTTGGTTCCCAGGGATCCTTGTGGGGGCCCTAGGACGGGTGCCAGACAAACGTGCAAGACAGAGGAAGGGAGAGGAGACAGTGGGGCTCTGGGAGGAAGGAAAGAGTGGTGGGCATCCTGAGAGGAGAGAACGGAGGCCAGGTTCCCTGAGGGCCCTTTTGGAGAGTCTGCCCCTCTGCAGGAAAGGGACAGAGGAGGGTAGACGTAGGAGGGAGCATGTGACCGGTGGGTGCAGCCACAGAGCAGGCAGAAAAAGGGCACCAGGGTGACCACATGAATCCAGGGAGGCTTGGCCTGGGCAGGTGGAGGGAAAGGAGGCAGGGAGGGGAACTGGGGTCGGGTGGAGGAGGCCAGGTGCCAGTGTGAGCAGCTGGGTGTGGTCAGGACAGGCTGAGTCCACAGGGTGGGGGGTCTGCTTCCACCTCATCTCCCAGATTGCAGCAGAGGCCTCTGGTGGCAGTCACCTCCCTGTCCCTCCCTCGGTTCTACCAGAGGAGAAGAGAAGCTCAGGGTGCAGAAGGCTGGTGAGTGAAGCAGGACATTTGCACTACTGGGAGATCCAAGCTGCCACACTCAATATCTGCACTAGCGACCCTGGCACTGGGCCTATAGATCTGGAGTACTGAAACAGAGTCAGGCAGTCTTGGCTACGGGGTTTACCTATCTCCTTAGCATGGGGTTGCTGATATCCATTTGTCCTTGTTTACTGTTGGAACTCACACTTGGTTTTCTATTTGGTTTTAATTAGACATGTTTTATGTAAAAGGTAGCATCTTTAGAAATAGGAAAGCTTTTAAAATGCCTGATATGCTGTGTTTTGAGGCTAGATCATTTTGCATAGGTTTTAGGACATCAGTTAACAAGGCAGGTGTTATGTGAAAAACAAGAACAGGTGAGCAGTTCTTGGGTCGCAGAAAGCACCCTTATTTTGGGAAGAAATGCAGGCATAAGTCACTGCTTTGAACTTGATCAGCACCAAGCATTCTCCCTATAAGGACACTAGTTTTCAAAAATAAACTTAGCTCTCTAGTTTTGGTTAACCAATGATGCTTTGCTCAGAATTCTGACTTAAAAAGCAGCTCTTGATCATTAGAACCATGACTACCACCACACTGATGTGACTCAAGCAAAATCAAATGCACTTCAGCCTCTACTTAGCCTCTGCAGTCCTAATGCGGTAACACAGAATTTCTGGTAAGATTTTACCAATGCAAACACAGCTAAGGATATGGCTGTACAACAGGAAGTGAGTCTCCATGTCCAATCGTCAGGAAACTGGACATACAGGTAGACCTTGGCTCTGCGGGTTGTTACCTAAGGCAGAGAAAATTGCTGCAGCCCAGAACATCTCTCCCATGAGCGCGGGGATGAAGAGGAGGCCACCCATGCGCTTCCCATATATCTGCTGAAATGGGTCCAACATGGTCACGTAGCCCTTGGAGCGCATGGGTTTGGCAAAGAACAGACCACCTGGAAGAGATTGAACACACGGTGATGCAGAGACTATAGATGCACAGTGTCAGTCTCTGCCAACCTTTTAGCACCTTAGAATTTCTCCAGGAAAATGAATTCTTTAGAATGTGTGTATGGAGGAGCCAATCTGTGATGTACTGTGGCTGTAGCACCCAGAAAATATTTAGCACCCTACTATAAATTCTTTAGCACATTTAATACTGCATTTGTCCAGCAGACAGTTAGATGGCATAACTTCTGGTGGCGAACCAACAGCACGCAGACTGTTCCTGTTGCCAAAAGCTCTGAAAGGTTTGCTGTTGTTGGTGTAAGTGATGAGCTGAAGGTGGGGGGGGGCAGTCGGCACTCACCAAGAGGCTTTGATCACAAAGTTCTGAGTAAGAACCAGGTCCCACACAAGTGTTTTGAGTGGAAAGGGAAGAACTCTCTGTTAAATTGTGATACACTATTTTTGACCAGTAGTTAGTTTGCCTTATGAAAAAGAAACTCAGGTACAATCCAGTTGATTCATTTCAGTGCTATACCCATTCTTACTATGAAAGGCATAGAACATGATCATCTTAAGAAATTCACTGTTCTATGATCACAGGATCAAAAAATTTTTTTCTTTTTTTCTTTTTTTTTTTTTTTTTCTTTTTTTTTTTACATCTTTCATAAGCATCCGAGCACTGCTGTTCTGCTGCCTATCTGGTAATAGCCACTTGGAAATCTGGGTGACATTTTCCCACAGCAGGTCCTGACATTGTCTAGCTCATTGCTCCGTTCTCAGTCATGCTCCTGCCCTTCCTGCTGTAGCGAGGGGTCACCAAGATTCCAGCCTCCACTTACCCACCACCAGACTGAGAGCATATCCAATGGGAGCCTGGGCCCAGGCCAGGCCGTGGTCTGGCACGTACACTGCTTCCGCCGTCCCGTTGATGTACCCTCCTCCGACCCAGGTGGCTGAAATAGAGGGAGGGGAGGGCGAGCCACTGTCACTCTGGGAGCCTGCTGTCCTGTCTGGCACAGTGGCCACTGGCCTCGTGTGGCCAGGGGCACTTGCAGAGCAGCCATCAGGCTTGGGGCTCTCATGAGGCGCTCCGGGAAGAGACAGAAGCAACCAAAAAAGGAGGTGAAAGAACTGGAAAGACCAAACATGGGAGAAAGAATTCTGCACCCAAAATGACACCGAAGTTCAAGAATGAACTTTGTATTAATCACAAAACTGAATGAAAACATTTTGAATGTATTGAATTAAGTAGGTTATATTACTTGCTTCAATTTAATTATTTCTTGTATTTTCAGATGGCATTTGTAGAAAATTTAACATCATTTGGGGCTCACCTTCCATGTCTACTGGACCATTCTGCCCCAGTGTTGTCCAGAGCTTTTAGACATCAGCACTTTGTGGTAGAGTTACCAGATACCATGGCTCTGAGACCATGCAGGGCAGCCTTCACAGCCTCTCCCCAACCCCATGCTGCCACCAAGGATCTTCATTTCAAGGCTTCCCCACTTGAAGGGTATCAATAATTCTATACCAGTCATGACTACTGTCCTCAAGGAGTGGTGTATGTGTGTACTAGTGTGTGTGAGTACAAATGTGTGTGTTCCAGTGTGTGTACAAGTGTGTGTACAAGTGTATGTGTGTGTACAAGTGTGTGTGTGGGGGGGGGGCTCAGTTGCATGTATGAGTGTGTGGGAGGTTTGCACCAGTATTTTTTCACATACACTGACAATGCTGGCTATATGCAAGCCTGGCCATGACCCCAGTGGGCTGCACTCAGAAGAATAAAAGGTCCCCCGTGGGTTACAGTGATCTCTGTCCTCTCCCCTGCATCGGCAGACACTCAGGGCTGCAGCCAGCACTCAGGAGACTGTATTGAGATGGCACAAGGCATGTGGTCCTTCCATCTAGATCTTTTCATGTGGTGTTTGGTATTTCACAGGGAATGCTGAGAAACACAAGTTTCTCAGATATATAAGAGTTCTGTAGCATAGTAACAGGAGGGAGGTTAAGTGACCAAAGAAAGCAAGTTTGGGCCACTGTTTTCTCTCAGAAAGCAACCTAGTATTTGATGCTCACTGGAAAACAGAGATAAACGGAACATCTTATCTGCAGCATGCATAGACACCTAGAAAATACATAGATTACTCTTTAAGAATATAGTCAAATATTAAAAATGACATCTATCTAGGATTTAAGTAAATCTCTGATGGTCAGAGGCCAGTAAAAAGCTTACCAGAGGTGAGGCTAGATTCTGGGTTGTATGATCCTAGTGAGAATATAACTTCACACTGAAGAGTTCTCTAAAATCCCCCAGAGCATGAAGAAAAGACATCATATGCATAGGGTTCTAAGGGGATAGTGTTTGTGATGCTCATACTAGTATTTATCTGACTTCGAATCCAACAGGAAATCAAGAAGAGACTATGTTGTGAGGTCAATGCTGCTTTTAAACATTTGCCTTGGGAAGTTTTCTTCATGGTGATGTTAAGTCATTTAACAGGGAGTTTATGCACTGACCCTGAATGGACCAAGATGCACCTAGCGGCCACTTCCATCTCACAGTGGCTTTCCCACTGGGTGTCCACAAATAACATACCCTGTGATTTTTTCTTCTTCTATGCCCTGCTGGATTTTAGACACACACACACACACACACACACGGTGTGTGGATGTGAGGAGCCTGGTGAAGGCAGGGCTGGGCCAGGCTCCCGCTGGGTGTGGCTGCTGCCTGCAGAGCCAGATTGAGAGCTCTGCTTGGATGAGGCTGACAGCAGCACTCATGGTGATCGTCCTTCCCTGCATAGCTCTTCTGTCCCTTGTCCAAAAGGAACCCTGGCACCTGCAGGATTACAGCATCATAGCACAGGTGTGAAGGCTGGATCCTTACTGGGACTGAACAAAGTGCTCCAGCTGCCCAGGCTGGACACTTGCTGGGCCATGCTGGCCCCTCTTGCTGCTGTGTTTTGCATCAAATCACTAGTAAAAACACAAACTCTTTCAAATTCCGTGCATTTTAAAAGAGTAAACATTTTCACCCTCTATTCTTTATGAAATACATACAAGCAAATTAATCTAATAAGGTTCAATGTTATTCAGATTTGAAATGAATGATGGTTTTGACTGAGGTTCTTAGAAATTTTGAGAAAGGGCTTTTGAAAGTGAGCTAGACCACGACAGTTTACCAGAAATAGTATTTGAATATTTTCTATATAATTTGATAGTGCATTAGGCTAAAAAATCCCTCTATATAATAAAAAGACAAATTCCAAACATTACCATTATAATCATGATAAGTAGAATATTAAGCTAGAGCAATAGAAGATTATAATAGTTTGCAAAGAATAAAATACTTTGATAGGCAACAATCCATTTATTCCTGGAGGTGGCTTCACAAGCAAAGCCCCCCATAAAAAAAAAAAAAAAAAAAAAAAAAGAAGGCCACCTGCCCAGCACCAGAGCCAGGCTGTGGCTGCCAGGAGCCCTGGGTCCTGCTCACTCTGGCCCTTTCTAACCTGGAGGCCCTGGCTCTTTGTGAAACCCCAGACCCCCTTCACGGCGTTCTTATAAAGACCACAGGAGTTTCCATACTGTCAGTGAGGCATTCAGCAAATGTGCCTGCCTGCAAGGTTGACTCCACAGCCCACGTCCATGGTGGAGCTCCTGATGGACCTACTTAAGGCTCCTGGAATGTGGGTGCTGTCTTTCTAGACTGGTTTGGTTACGTTTTGAAATGCAGGGTAAACCACTTGTAAATGCCACCTCAGACTGAAATGCAGAAGTGTTTGGATATGGTTTCCAGTGGGATATTTTTCTAACGTTCCTGTTGATGTGGGCTGTATCGTATTGCTAACGTCTAAATATCTACTAGGACTTCAGTGAAATGTGTCGTTCGTAAGTGTAATGACTAATATGAAAGACCAAGACAGAGACAAAAACCACCCACTACTGACAGCCCCTCACAGAAGAAGGAACAGCCTGCCCTTCCCAGCAGTAGAGGCAGCCAGGGAGCTGCAGATCCTCCGGCCTGCCTTCATCCTTCTGGCAACATTCCTGCACACCCCGCTTTAGCACTGCTGTGGAGGGGCTTCCGATAAGTAATCAGTTCTCAAGTGGAAAGCAGGCTTCAGAACAGGGACTAGATACTCAGTGTACTGACGCAGGATAAAAGCCATCACCGGATCATGTCCACTGATATCAGTTACGGGGGAGCTGAGGTTCCATTCCCTGCCCCTGTGAAGAACCAGGGTGAAGCTCCTTTTATCCAACAGGTGCAGGGTGAGCAGGACCAGCCCCTCCGTCCTTCCACCCCATTTCCTCTGCTCCCAGTGGGAGTGCAGCCTGCCCTTGCTTCCCCTGAGTCTGGTCTGGTGACTGTCAAATCACTTTGCTCAAGTGTGACCACAATGAAAACCTTTCATTTCCACACCTAAACACAGAATTATGGAAAGAGAACCGAAAGAGTCCTATGGGACTAAAAGCAAGGCCTGCCAGGCTCTGAGAAGCCGGGGAGTGGGCTGCCAGGGCGAGGACCTACCTGTCATGGTGAAGCCACCCACCAGTAGCCCGATGTCCCGGCCGCCCACGATGATGGCCTCGCTGCGCTCCTCAGCGCTGCCACTGTTCTTGGTTCTCCAGGCGGCCCAAATGCCCACCAGCAGGATGAGCAGGTAGAACACCACGATGGCGACCAGCCCCTCCACGTGGAAGGCCATAGTGGCCCCAGCCTGTGGACGCGGGAGGGCGGAGGAATGCAGCAGAGGCGGCCAGCTGCAGGGCGCCAGGAGCCAGACCCGCCCTGGGGAAAGAGGACACTGCTCCCGGGAGGCGAGGCGGTGGCTGGCGTCCTGCTTCTGCCCAGCAGCTCCAAGCCCTTCTGTGTTCTCCAGTAACAGAAAGGGCGGGGGAGCTGCTCAGCAAACAAATCAAAATCCTTTCTCATTTAATAATTCTTTCCATTTAGAATTAACCTAGTATCTTAACCGGTAGTTCTGCCCAGGAAGGTTACAAAGAACCAGTTGTGTTGCTTATTGAAACCAAGTTCCATCGCCTGCCTTGTCCTCTCCACCAGGCCCGTCAAAGGATTTATTGGGGAGTTGGTTCCAAATGGGATTCGCTAAGGCTGGAAAGAAAACTTTAGGAAAATCTATTTGGACTGCACCAGCTACCTGTTTCCAAGGAGTTCCTGAGCTTTGGCGGGGGACAGTGGCCACCGAGGGGCAGTGCTGCGCTGGGGTGAGGTGGCCCTCTTGGGGCTCCCCCTGAACACCCTGAGAAGAGGCTTTGCAGCCCTGCTCCCCGGTGGCCCCTGGGAGTGGGGTATCAGGTTCCAGACAGAGAGGAAGGACGGGTTCCGGGGCCTCTGCCTTCGGGGGTTGCTTTCTTTCATCTTATTCCTCTCATGGTCACGGCGGCATCAGGGACCCCAATCCGCTTAAGGAAGTTGGGGAAAAAGACTAGCGAGGCAGGTGGGCGCGGAGCCCTTGAGCGCAGGACCCGGACCAGGAGCCCCGCCCCCCGGAACCCCATAATCTCCCATCTCCTAGAGCCTTCAGAGCCCCGACTACCTCTAGCTCCGCGAGCCCAGCTGCGTCCGGGGCGCCGGCTCCTACCTGTGGGGTGCGCGTGGGTTGGGTGCCCGAGTGCGCGGGAGCAGGGATGTGGGGCGCACGGTGGGAGGTGTTCCGGGGGCTGGGGTGCCGGGTGAAGGGTGCGGGAAGGGGCAAGAGCTGGCGGGGACTCGGCGCAGCCAGGGGACAGGGCGATTGGGGCGATCGATAGATGGATCGCTATCCAGAGCCCCTTTATAGCGTGGCCGAGGCGTGGGGCGGAGGCGACGTCAGCAGCAGAGCGGGGCGGGGCGGGCGCGGCCCTGGTCCCCAATGAACCCTTTCCCCTTCCCCCTTCTGGGTGAGAACAGCTGCTGGCGTCCAGGAGCTGCTGGAGCTCGGCCGGGAATTCGGGTGCGTCCCAGATCTGGCACCAGCGCCCAGTCCTCAGGGGTCCTGAGAGCCCGGGGTGCTGGCTGAGGGTCCCCAAGGGCTTCAAGGAGAGCGCTCTTACTGTTTCCTTTTCTATTTCTTTTCTTTTAAGTTCACGCCATTTCTAATAAAACAAAAGAGCATCTCAGTGAAAGACACCAGTACGTGCGCTTCTCCCACACAAGGAGGCGGTTGGGTCAGCAGAGACCGCGCTCCTCCTGGGGCCAGCGGGGTCTCTGCCGCTAACCCGTCCTCCCTCTGCCGCGCAGAAATCCCCTCCTTCCTCCGGGATGCACCCGCCCCTGGACTCCCGCGTCTGCATTTTCCAGCGAGCCCGGCCACATAGGCATCGCTGTAAGCACCTCTGCGGGTGTGTGTGCCTGCTTCTGTGTGTGCAGAGGTATCTGTGGGTGCCCGTTTGTGTGCCTGTGCACAGTTTGTATTGAGATACGTTACAGGAGAAAAAGAATCCTGTAAAAGAGTCGCAAGCCCCAAAGCCAGGACCTCAGGGTCCCCCATCCTTCCACACCCCCAGGTCTGCCTGTGGCAGCAAGACCCACAGCTTTCTGGCTGCTGTCCGGCTCTGGGCAGGCTGCCAACCACCTCCCCTCCTGGGCTCTGGGTCTAGGAAGGTCTTTCCAACTCCTGTCCCTGCCCCTTCCTCTGGCTTCCTAGCTTGTCAACAGCAGATACACCCAGTGCTTTTTGGGAAAAGAGCCCCGGGGACCCAGCAGAGGTGAAGGTGGCCCAGGGCTGTGTGGACATTCCTCAGCGGGCTCCGCGGTGGGCTAACACCAGGACCTGCATGGAGGGAGGACGAGAGTGCACAGATCTGACAGAGGGAGAAAGACAGGATTTCCTGTAATTGCTCAGGTGTTTTAAAAGGGCTTCACTCATTCATCCATCTATTTATGTAGGTTCAGTTCAAGTTTCTGATTCTGGACTTTGGTCACAATTTAGCCTCTGCTTTTCCTGTGGGACACAGGTACAGGCGGTGATGACACAGATATGGGGGAAGCTGGGTGGGAGTGGCCATGGCAGTGTTTGAGAGAGTGCACAGGGCTGAGGTCAGGGAGCAAGTGTGACTGAGGCTCAGGGGGGACCTGGAGCCATGGCTGTCCTCGGAGTGTGGCCCTGGCCAGGCTCAGCACTGGAGTGGGGCCAGGCACACACTCTGGGCAGTGGGGCAGGGAACTGATCCACTTTGAGCAGGCAGGCATCCAGAACAGACTCAGCACCAGGCTAGAGCTGGGACAGCGACCTTGACAATGGCCATGCACATCCAGCGGCAGAGCAGCTGTCCTCCATGGCAAGAGGCAGCTCGCAGTGACAGCGCTGATGTATAGGTCTGGTCCTGGGGAGACACTTTCTCATCTGCAGCTGTGCTGCTGCATCGGACTGAGGCTGGTGATGCTGTGCCTGGGGCCCCAGGTCCCCTCCTGGTGCCCCTGCCCCTTTGTCTTCTACATGGGTCTAGTCTCCACTCCAGAGGATGCGTGATTACACTTAGAGCTGGGGAAATAAATGCCAGTGCTTAGTCGACTCCAGCTTTAGGAGATAAAAAGCCAGTTTTGCATTTACAGATTACGTATTGAGCACACGCATTCTGGCATTCCAAACACTGTCCTCAGCACTGAAGATTCCCTTAGAAAATGATGTACCTCCCTGCCCTCAGCAGCTCCCATCCAGAAAGAAGCTGTGCACTGTGGTCGAGGCTGGGCAGGCTGGATGCATGGCATCCACTCCTGCAGGTCCTAAGGGAGCCTGTAACATGGTCTCAGGGCCCAAGCTATTCTTTTTTTTTTTTTTTTTTTTTTTGTCTTTTTCCTTTTTATCGGTACCGGGGATCGAACTCACGATTGCCTGCTTGCAAGACAGGCACTTATGCTGCTGAGCTAAACCCCTAGCTCCTGGCCCAAGCTATTCTTCCCTGAGGGAGGGAAACACATCTCCTGCATGCAGATCTCCTCACGATGAGTCCAGGGCCACTGCAGGGGGTGTGAATGTGAGTGTTCACATGCAGCATGTGTTCCCCACCGTTGCTTGACCACAGGTGATGAGAAGCTGCTGTTGTGGTGGCTTCGATCATTGTCACGTGGCATCCTCACTGGTGCTGCCGCTGTCTACCACACTAGCTGGTGCTCCAGACAAACGTCCCTGCCTATGAAGAAATATCTTGCTAGAAATCATCACAAGAAGCAGCAGGTCTCTGCTCCTCGCGCCACTTCATGGATTAAGGTCTTCTGAGCCTGGCCAGCCAAGCCCAATTCATGCCTGATAGCCAGGCCATGAGGAGACCTGAGTGCAGGAGATGTAGGTCCTGCAAACAGCACGGGCCACAGCCTCTCCCGCCTGTGCTCCCCCAGTCCTGGCGAGCAGCGCTCAGCCCAGGGGAGGGCATCCTCTCCTGTGTGCCCCTTGTCACATGCATTCCATTCCAGAATGAGCTTTGCAGGTGTGGATGCTTCATGCCCTTCCGTGACACCTTGTCTGCTGCCCAGGTGGGTAATGAGATCCTCTCGGAGGTGCTCTCCTGTGGCACCTGAAAGGGTTGGAGATCTACAGATGCCATCTGCTTCTCCTCTGGCACTCTAGCCTCTGGGAAGAGGAAGCTAGGTTAGCTCACCTTTCAGGGCTAGCACTGGACACCGCACCTGGGATACATTGCGTTCAATTTGACCAAAATAAACTGCTTTACTTTCTAGAAGTGTCGAGAGTTGAATGTGTAAAGATAAGAGAAGTTGTAAAAATCTTGGTTTAAAAAATCAACCTTGATATTTGAAAGAGTCAAAATTGGTCATTCTGGAGACGCCTCAAAAAAATGAAAATTAGAAGGGGCTGGGGATTTAGCTCAGCGGCATAAGCGCCTGCCTTGCAAGCAGGCAGTCCTGAGTTTGATCCCTGGTACTGATAAAAACGAAAAAGACCCAAAACAAAACAAAACAAAACAAAACAAAACAAACAAACAAAAAAACAAAAATGAAAATTAGAAATTCCATTTGACAAAGCTATTGCTTGTCTAGATTTCCCCCTGAAAGAGCTGAAGACATCAGATTACAGCAATCCATCCAGGCGATTCATAATAGTTCAATCTTGAAAACAGCTTAAATGTATATCAGCAAATGACTGGATAAGGGAAATGCAGCATTTATACTCAGTGGAACACTACTTTGCCATAAAGGATAATTTGAGTCATTTGTAGGAAAATGGGTGACTCTGGAGACAATAATGTTAAGTGAAGTAAATCAGACACCTAAGTTCAAATATAGCATGGTTTCTCTTATAATGAAAAACCTAAAATATAAACAAATGGCAAAATAAAAGTTAATAGGGAAAAGTGGTCATTCTGGTGATTAGGTACATGTACACATTGTGGATTTATCAGTTAGAGTCCATAAAAATAGAATTCTCTTGGCTCTCAAGGAAATGACTTAACCCTGTGTAAATTGCAGTTCTATATTAATTTTGACATTTCTCCACCCAAATTGTAAGTAATCTTTATTTCAAATCTTTATACTGTCACCCCCTTTTGCAATTATTACAATAAAAATTGAAGGGAAAAGAGGAAAGCTGTCAATGGGATGCAAATATGCCAAGAAAGATGGAGAAGAAATAGTTTAGGATCAGAGTTGGTGGGGGAAGCTGACTTTTTAGGTTAAGACTCTGTTACATGGGTCTGAGTGTGTAGACCAACAGTTACACTAGAATTCATCTTCTGGGACGGCTCATCTCAGTGTAATGCAGTTGTCCAGCAAACACCAAATTTTGTTCTTGTGACATTAGAACAATCAGCAGACAATAACTAAATCTCGACTTTCTGGTTGCACAGGAATCGGACAGTGTTTTACCCTCACTGGACACAAGCATGCAGTGGTGGATGTGTGTTTTCAGGCCAGTTTCTGTCTTCTGAGCACCATTCCTTCCATTCCCCACACTTGCATAAGCATTTTTTTCCTGGTCACTTCTCTAACGTTCTGTGAAAATATGCAAACAAATATCAAGATTGAAACCTACGTTAAAATTAGCCCATGTACACCTATAACCTAGATTCATTAGCTTTTAAAATTTTAACATCTGTCCATCTTTCTATCCATCCACCCCCTTATGCAGCCTGTGCTGCCTTTCAGAATGACCGCATGAAGTCACTCCCTCGAGTACCTCTGGACACAGGCCCTGCAGCTCTGGACTGGAGCATAGGCTTCTTTCCTGTGGAAGTAGCAGTTTCTATGCCGCAGAGTCATAGTCCACTCTTCTTTCATGGAAGACTTTGCTGTAATGCACAGCATTATTGCTAGCTCTGAGCACACAGTGGGACTTCTTTCAGATGTGCCGTCTTTGATATGACAAGCTTTTTATCATTTCAACTATGCCCGCCGCATTTTCTCAAGACCACTTCCACTGCTGGTCAGTAAGTTGCAACTCTTTATCCCTGGAAGTTTGATTGAGAGCTGGCAGCAGTTCAGTCCCTCTCAGGCATCCAGTTGTCCTTCTCTGTTTCTCAGCTGCAAGGCACACAGCTGTTCACTGTCTTCCCGATCACCCACTTTACTTACATATAAATAGTACTAGTGTCTTCACTTTCATTTTGAATTTAGCAATTTGAATCTTTCATCTTATTTTCACAGTCATTCTAGCTGAAGCTAGCCACTTTTGCTTGTTTTTTAAATAACAACTTTTGTTTACATTGTTTTCTACAAGTGCTATCTTATAGCCGTTCATAGTTTTACTTCTGTTTTTTGTTGTCTCTGAGTTTAGTTTGCCTTGTTTCTTTAGTTTCATAAAGGGCAGCGTTAGATTATTTATGCCAGTTCCTTCTTTGTAATGGACAATGCATAGTTCTCGGCTGGTTACTTCTCTCCACATCCAGCAGTTTCTCCTGCATCCAGTGGCAGCTCCTATGC